CGCTCAAGCTAATTGCTAGAATATTGACATTTTTTGCAACATTGCTCATTGTGACATAAAAAATTTTGATAGATATAAAAAAAAATTATTTTCATATCTATAATGGAGAATGTCCTAAATCGGACCGTGTTCCAAATCGGACCTTTTCAATTTGAATAAATATGGTTAAGCAGATTTGCGTGCTATTTATAATGTAAAGTCCTTATAAGACACCAAACATGTGACAGCAATGTTTGGCAATACTCTATCAAAAATATTATTTATTTTTACAATTTTACTAATTTGTTAATCCTCCTTTTATTATTACCGCCTTTTTTCAAGAAGGTACAATAAATTATAATAAAAATGCTTTTATTTATAGTTATACTTAGCCAAAATTCTATAATATTTGCACTATTGGAATATTTACTTAATAAAAAGAACGATAACTTTTTGATCGTGTTAAATCATTATCACATAATGTGATAAGTGTCAACATTTCTAAAGTTATGATAAGAAATTTCACGTTACTACAGGTTTGTTCAAATACCTCGCAGCCATGCGGGTCTTGAATATCCGGGAAAGATCTTGAAAATACTGAAAGTTTTGAAGATCTCGTAAGATTTAAAAGCTCGGAAGTTGTAGATCTTAAAGGCTTACCATATCTCCAACAATTGGAACATTTCAAGAAAGTCTCACAACGTTCAAATAACCCTGAAGATCCGATGAAACGCAACTGAATTGATTTGGGATCAATTTCTGATTGGCGGTAGATTTCTAATAACGGATTTATATTAATTTTTAAAATTTGGACTCAACAACAATTTCTGATTGATCACAAGAATTTCAACGAATGCGCATTCATAGGAACGTTACATCTGGTATTTTTACATTATGGAATATTCAAACTTGATGCTCTAGAGAATATAAAAACTGTTAGTATCCATTTACATAATATTATTTTGATTGACCAAACAAAATCATTTTCAAATCTGTATCTAGCTATAAATTTTTAAGTAGGTATTTCAGAAGAACTGTTCTTTCCGTGTTTGTCTTACCATTATATTAATAACAGTAATGCTATGAAGAAAGCCTTTGTAAACAGTGTTGCAATTTGTAATCGAAAAGAAATAGAGCAGTAAACATTGACGCACTGCAACTCGCTCGCGAACTTTGTCGTGAGCGTAGCGAGCAGAAACGGTTACTGTCTCACGATTTGCATACGAAAGTATCGAGCAGTACAAATTGCTGGTCGGCTAGCGAAGCTTCACTTATTACGAGATACGAGGTTGGCCAAGCCAGCGGCCGGGATAAATTCAGTCTGTTTTCTTCGCCGGTCCGTCGTATCCGGGACAAAGGTAAAAAATGAACGTCTTTCTCCCAGGATAGCGAAGGCTTGATTGCTACACTCGGGCATTTTCAGACCGCGCTACACCGAGGACAAATTGCGAAACTTCCGTTCTCTAATGTCGCGCCGTTGATTCTCCGGGGGTGCCTTAGAGTATACTGCCTCGATTTCCTTCCGTTCACCCTTTCCCCTCGTAAACTTGCATATGTACGATGCATCGCGATGCTAACAATAAGTACAAAACACGCCGCGGATCGGCGTTCTTCTTGATTATGGCGGCTACGAGGAGAACTTTCACAGCCAGGCACACAGCACAACGCGTAAAAATACGTAAATGGTAACTAGTCATATGACTCCTTTCGAGAACTGGGTCATGCCCATGAAGAAGGAAAACAAGCATATCGAATCGCAGAGATTCTCTGGGTGTCGTTGATCCCCGATTTTCCTTATGTAACTGTCTTGAACGTGCTTCTGTGTTTAGTAGCAATAACTGTTTATTGCACTGTAAAATGAAACGAGTATTTAATAATAATACGAATTAAATTCTGTTGATTCCCATACAGAAAAAACAATTTTACTGAGGTATCTAAAAATTTAAGAAGATGCAGATCTGAAAATAATTTTGTAAGACATCATCAAAATAAGTTCACAAGAAATTCAAGCATAATGAGTAATGTTGTAAAAAATGTTGATATTCTAGTCAGTAGTTTGAGTATTGTGCGCAATTATTTTGATAGTTTACAGCAATATCGAACCAAATTTTTCGAGACTTAAGCAAAATCGTTTTTTCTCATATGAGGATACTTATATATAATCAGGTTGTAAATATGTAGGAAATTCAAACATGATGATCAATTCTGTAAAAAAATTATGACAATCTGGCAATCAACTGAGCGTCCTGCATAGTTATTTTAATAATCTAATAGAATTATTTTGAGATCCGTATCTAGGCTGAATTTTATATACTTTACCAAAATCGTTATTTCCGTATATTTATCTGGTTCACAATTTTAGAATTTTGAATATCTCACGATATATGTATCCAAAGATCGGTATCTTTTTCCTGATTATTGATGTGCAGTTTAAAAACATACTATCTATTTCTGATTTTGAAAGACGTGTATTATTGTCAAAATGACGAGAGAAAAGTATTGACGATATCTGGTATATTGAGATATCAATGACTCCGATCAATAGAATCGTTCAAATCGGACTCGATCGATTCGACGTCGCAGTCGCGCCAGCTGCGTATAATTGCTTCTGCCGAGTATCGAGGGTTTGGGGACGGATAAAGGTTTCTTTTTATTCATCGTTACGCTTCCTTTGTTTTCTGTCTGATAACTGTCGTCTCTGAGAAAGAATACGTATGGCTGCCGTCCTCCAGTTGCGTTACGAAAATCGATTTTGTCGTTCCTAAAGAATGTCAGATATCTTTTGAAACTTCGCGAAGTTTATTTTCCATTGCGCGAGCATAGCTATATGTTATGTTGGATCTAAAATAATCAGAGATTTTCCGAAGAATTACAAAGATTGTTTTATTATGTAATTGTGACTATTTTTAACAACCATATGTATGGTTATATTTTTCACATTTTAATAACAATAATGTTCACTCTTTAGTAATTTTTTAATATATATACGGGGGGGGGGGGGG